AAAAAACACTAATTTTAAAAACATTTTAAAAATAAATTTAAGATTTTATTAAAAAATAATTACCATCCATTCAATTATGGGTAGTGATTAATTTAGGATAGCATTTTAATTTTCTTCCAGATTCAGCATTTGGTACACCACTTATGTTTTCATCTATATCCTCGTAGAATAATTATATGATAGAATTATATATCCATCCTTAATTAATTATCACTTAAAATATTTCGTTAGATTTCTCAATGGTGCAAGAAGTACAGCGTTGAGGTAGTTTGGCCAGCTTATTGGCTCTGCCTAACACTCTCTTCCAGTAGTGAGGAACTGCGTCAACTGTTCCATATTGGTATCACAAAGGACAAAATCCGGTGCGCCGACGGAGTGAAATGGTGCGGAATATCGTCTTTCTTAATTGAGTATACGTCAAAAACTCTCCAACCAACCAAACAAACAAACAAACACCCTTATCATCAATTACCACCCTCAATCCAATCCTCACTGAGAGAATCTCAACTCTCTCCGTCTCTTCCTCAACTCCGACCTAAAAGGCGGCTGGAACATGGCACATAAAACCCTAGATTCCATCACCCAAGCCGACATCGAAGCTCTCGGGATATCTGCCGAAGTCGCGGAGGTTGTTCACCGGAAGGTGGCGGAAATTGTGCGTGATTTCGGAGCTGCCACTCCGGAGGCTTGGAAGCGGATTTCCAAACAAGTCCTTCATCCTGGGCTCCCCTTCTCCTTTCATCAGATGATGTACTATGGTTGCTACAGAGATTTCGGGCCGGATCCTCCTGCGTGGATGCCCGACCCGTAAGTCATTCCGGATTCTCTTTCTCTGGCTTGAGTTGAAATTTTAGTTATTTTCCGCGGAGAAAATAAAAATCGATATTATTGTTTTTGCAAATTGCAACTACCAACGGTGATCCGACTGAAGTCGTTTGTTCGTACCTGAAATATGCCACGTGCAAGAAATATAAACTATAAAATGAAAACAAATTAAGAATAAAGTAATTTTTATTTTCTTTTGATCTTATTCATTGATGTATTTTCAATTTTCATTGAGAAATAGAACTAAAGAAATTCAATTTATAAGATTTGCACGAAAAAGCTCTGATTTTTATTATTTTTTCGGTGTTACGAGCCATTAGATGGATGGTCCGCACCTATTCTTAAGTACCCATTATCTTCCCATGGTTAGTATTTTGCTTGTTGGGGTTGTAAGACACCTTTTTTTATTTATACTTTCTAATCTTCTAAAAAAAGGTTTTTCCTTTCCTTCATGTTTCATTTTTAAAGATGCAGTGAGCAATACTGAAGGAAATGAATATGTAAACAGGATGTATTTTATAGAAAAAATGAAGAATGTAGTGCTTCTTACTTTTATTCTAGTTCAGCAGCATGAGGTTATGAATTTTAGATTCAATTTTTTGTTCTGTCATGGATGACATTGTTCTTAAATCTGTTTCTTCTATTATGGGAAGGGAGGCTGCATTGCGAACAAATGTTGGCCAGCTATTAGAAAAGAAAGGGAGAGAATTCTTTGGTTCCAAATACAAGGATCCGGTATCAAGTTTCTCTGATCTTCAGGAATTTTCAGTCTCACAGCCTGAGGTAGAACTCTTGTGGTTCTGTGTCACATTCTTTAAGAAACATGTATTCTGTGTCAATTGTATTTTGGATTATTGGATGAACATTGTTTCCTATGTCTTTATGCACTAGGTTTATTGGAAAACTGTACTGGATGAGATGAATGTGAGCTTTTCAGTACCCCCTGAATGTATCTTGTGTGAGAACCGATCTGGGAGAAGTGGCATGCAAAACCCAGGTGGTCAATGGCTTCCTGGAGCATATGTGAATCCTGCAAAGAATTGCTTGAACGTGAATTGTAAGAAAAGTTTGAATGATATAGCAATAAGGTGGCGCGATGAGGGAGATGATAATCTGCCAGTGAAAACCATGACATTTAAGGAGCTGAGGGAGGAGGTTTGGTATGCAACTATTTATCTTACATAAGTGGTTCTTTGTCATTAGATACACTTAATGTCTGTGGTGTTTTAGATAATCAATAGAAGCATGTGATATTTTCCTTTAACTGCAAAATGGTTTCCCTTTATTTTTGAGTTGGTGTCCTGGTAACACATGCTCTTAATTTTTATTTTTATGGAGAGTTTTAAGAATTTGATTGGTTAATGATATTTCTGATATGAATATGCCACACCCTTCTTTCAACTCTGCATTTCTTCTAACTCTAAAAGTCTCTCGTCACTGTACTTTTTAGGTTAATTGCACACGCCCTTAACACCCTGGGTTTGGACAGAGGATCTTCAATTGCAATTGATATGCCAATGCATGTTTACTCCGTGGTTATCTACCTAGCGATTGTTCTAGCAGGCTATACAGTTGTATCCATTGCTGACAGCTTTGCTCCGGGTGAAATATCAACAAGGCTTAGAATATCAGGAGCAAAAGCCATATTTACTCAGGTTAATTTCCTTTTCCCCTCCAGTGGACTGTGAAACCTTGCTTGTCATTTTTATGTTTTCTCATGCAAGTCTAATCATGTTTTGTTGTCATCTTCCCTCAAACCTTTGGTTTCTTTTCTTGATCAGGAGGTTCATGCACCATTTCTTGTGTAATAAAAGTAAACTGTGTTACTCGAATGACTTTTCTGTTTATCTTCAAACTTTAATCTGCTATTTTCTTAATCACCACGAGAGTATTCTTGCCTTCCTTATCATCATAATTGTTTCATCCTTTTGTCTTTCAGGATCTTATTATTCGTGGTGAAAAAAGCCTACCCTTGTACAGGTGAAGTTTTCAAAAGTGTTCTAGCAAGATGTTTAATGCTGTTTTCTTTCATATGACTGTTGTCTCACGGTATTGCTTCTGTTATGCAGTAGGGTAGTTGAAGCACAGGCACCTATTGCCATTGTCATACCAAGCAGAGGCTCTAGCTTCAGTATGAAATTGCGTGACAATGATATTTCTTGGCATGATTTCCTGGATAAAGTCAGAAATTTCAAGTAGGTGCTCCATGGTTTGTCTCATATATGCTAATTGGTTAACTGTTAATTGATATCTATGGTCTTGTGTACCTGCCTTATTCTTTTCTGCATTTCTTGTTCTTTGTTTTCTTTATTAATCTTTCACCGTGAAAATTTTATATCCTATTTGAAAGCCATATTTGATTGCCTATGTAATATCTTCCATCTGTCACAGATAATTTATTTATCTGAAATTTACATGTATAACAATTTCTTTCATTTGAATAAAAGTGTCACTGAGGCCTTGATGTCGGTGCTTTACTTGTCTGTCTTCTCTTTCATCTGCAGGGGAGATGAATTTACTGCTGTAGAAAAACCAGTGGAAGCATTTACAAACATCCTTTTCTCATCAGGAACTACAGGTAACTTTAGAATCATGATGCTATTGTTGAACTAGAATCATGATTTTGGTGATAATTGTTAATCCTGCATGCTTAAGTGCATTAACTTCCTCTTGTTTTCAAGAACATTGAATTTTAAACTTCTCTTTGATAAAAATTTTTAGAAGGCAACTAGCAGGGGAAGTAAAAGTAGTGGTGACTCTATTTATGTCTTCTTGACTAATAAATTTGTTGGCACAATAATAGAAGGTCAATCATTTAATTTTATTCTCCAACTACTGGGCAAAAGATTTGGCTTGGTTATACAAATATCAATTAAATGGCTATACGAGGCTAATTTTCTGGTGTAGGGCAGCCAAAGGCAATTCCATGGACCAATGCAACTCCTTTCAAGGCTGCTGCAGATGCATGGTGCCACATGGATATCTACAGGGGTGATATTGTTGCTTGGCCAACAAATCTTGGATGGATGATGGGCCCTTGGTTAGTGTATGCTTCATTGATAAATGGGGCTTCCATTGCGCTTTATAATGGATCTCCCCTTGGTTCTGGCTTTGCAAAGTTTGTACAGGTACTGGTTTATTGTGAATCGTGTTAGCATAGTATGAATATGGTATATCTTTCTCCTTCTCCTAAGTTTGTTGATCTCTTCATGTTAAAAGAAGTTGAAATAACATACAAGGAACCTTGAATCATATCTTCAGTTTATATATTACCATCAAAGCAAATACGAAAGATTAAATATTAAAATGTCATGACCATAGTTCTTCCATGGAAGTTCAAATCATTCTTAATGAATAGCTGCTAATAAGTTCCCTTTTTAGCGTGAAATTATTGCCATGTAATTATTCAGAATTTCAGATAATAGAATGGCCATTTATTTAGTAAAAGAGTATAGTGGAATGACTTGAACCAAGAAATTATACTGCAACTGCATCTCCCTAACAGTTGTCATTTAATTTATAAAGAAACAATATGCTAAATCAAATAATAAGAACTTACAATATTTGCGCATGGGAAATTATTCCACTCCTGTAGATAAGGCATAGGCAACCTCGGAGAAATTGCTTGAGTTCTAGCCATCATATTTTTGGCATTACGAAAATCATTTAAATTCACTAGATTCTTTTTCTGCTTGTTTAGGATGCCAAGGTAACAATGCTCGGTGTCATCCCAAGCATTGTCCGGACATGGAAAGGTTCAAACTGTGTTGCTGGCTATGACTGGTCTGCCATTCGGTAAGTGTAAGTTCCAAATATTTTACCCTCAGCTTGCCTGTTCTTCTCATGATGATAGTCCTTATATGTGTATGCAAGCAATTGTTTGCATCTTCTATCATTGATCAAAAGCCAAGTTGTTGTTGAATTTGATTCTATATTGATTATTCCCTTCTGAACTTTTCATTTTATAAACTGGCAGTTGTTTTGCCTCCACTGGTGAAGCATCTAATGTGGATGAGTACCTATGGCTGATGGGGAGAGCTTATTACAAGCCTATCATTGAATATTGTGGTGGCACTGAAATTGGTGGTGGTTTTGTTACAGGATCATTATTACAGCCACAGTCATTGGCGGCTTTTAGTACACCAGCTATGGGTTGCAGTTTGTTTATTCTTGCCGAGGATGGCCATCCTGTTGTAAGTGCCAAAAGACCATTATCCTAATCTAATCAAAGATCTACTCTTAGATAATTGTAGCAAAATTGATATATGGTGCACGTTTCTAAAATGCATGTTCTTCCAATTATATGATTGGGTTCTTTTCCAGCTGCCTATGCATTATTTTATGATTTTAGGGAAATCATGTATATCTTCAGTACCATACATTAATCTTCTGTTTTAGAGCCTTTTTTCGGAAAGTAAGAAATATCATCAACAATTCAACATTAAAATGCGGCAATAGTCCTCCAACACTTAATAGAGTTTCAATAGAGTCTTTGCCCCTTTTGCAGTTATTTTTGGAAAATCAACATTAACTCTTTTAGAGGTTCAGGGTACTAAATTTTGCAAGTTCAGTTGAGGTCACTGAATTAGACTGGTTTCTGTGTCTTTGAGATATGTTTTGCTAATTCCATTGAATAATTGACATGACTAATTTCTTTCTGAAACTTATCCATTTTCTTTTTCATATTTTTATGCAAAAAGTCAACCATCATTGTAACCAATGGCTTCAACTTCTTTAATTGCAGCCTCCAAATGTACCAGGGATGGGGGAGCTGGCACTTGGTCCTCTGATGTTTGGAGCTTCAAGTACGTTGCTTAATGGAGATCACTATGATGTTTACTTTAGAGGAATGCCTTCATGGAATGGAAAGGTGAGAACTTTTGCATCTTTACAGCCTTTTCTGTGAATTTTCTTGGAATGTGGATCACTGTGATGTTGATGGCTTTTAGATTTTCATTTTTGGTAAAAGGGAGGCAGTGTTGATGTCTTTTAGATGAATGACCTTTTGAATGGCAAACCTAAAAATTATTTTCTTAATTTGGTTTTACCGTCTTCTCTAGCAAGCTAAGTAAATGAAACTCATGCAGATTCTACGAAGGCATGGGGACTTTTTTGAACGGACCTCTAGAGGCTACTATCATGCACATGGTCGTGCTGATGACACAATGAATCTCGGTGGTATCAAGGTATCCATCTTAAATTATAAGAACTGAGATTTGATTAGAACATGCATGAAATGTTCCTACTTCCTGCTATTGGACAATGCAGCTTTACCTGATTTCTTTTCTCCACTGTAGCCACTTTTGGCATTAATATTGTGCAATATACACAGGAAGGGATTCAAAAACAGGGGGAACACATGAGGTTAAAACTAGTTATCCACTAGGTTGACAAATAGACTGTGCTGACTCATTTTTTTCTGTTGCTTGAGCCAGGTTGGTTCTGTTGAGATTGAGCGTATCTGTAATGGAGTTGATAGCAGTGTCCTTGAGACAGCTGCAATAGGGGTGCCGCCTCCAAAAGGAGGCCCTGAGCAATTGGTAATTGCTGTTGTATTTAAGGGTTCAGACAAGTCAACACCAGACTTAAATCAGTTAAGAATGTCTTTCAATTCAGCAATCCAGAAGAAACTCAATCCTTTGTTCCGGGTATTAACATCTGCTCCTCACCAAGTTGCTTTTCCATTTCCATTTACCAAATTGTATGGTTTAACACCAACACACTAATTAAATAACGAAATGTGTAGGTTTCTCATGTTGTTCCCCTTCCATCCCTCCCAAGGACTGCAACAAATAAGGTTATGAGACGACTTTTGCGGAAGCAGCTTGCACAAGTACAGCACAATGCTAAACTGTAGCAGATGATGGTTTCCATTCCCAATCTGCTTTCCTTCCATCAAAATGAATAATATGCATTGCAGGCGGCCTTTCTGATCCTCAGAGATTAAAAGTTGCCCATGATTAGGATGTTCATTCAGGGAATCAAAATTGCAGGCAAATGTATTTTTCTACATACCACATTCTGAGAAAATAAGACTTGCACAGAAACAAAGCTAATAAAGGCGGCTGCCGGCTTGTATAAAAGTTACTGTCAACAACACTTTGTTGGCTGGATTGTAACTAGCTGCAATAATGTCATGTGGACTACCATCTTCGAAGGTAACAATCTTGAGTCATTAAAATTATCTATACTCTTTTTTTTTTTTTTTTTTTTTTGACAAGAACAATGGTTAGGAGTTAAGAGTTAGAGTTAGTACCTTACTTTTTGACAAGGTTCGACCATTGATTGAGATGCATTCTATAGACAATTCTTTTGGACTGCAGTAACCACTAATGGGTCACAATAGGGGAATGCCTATACTTAAAATGACATTATAACAAATTATTAAATTTTTTTTTAATCTTGGTTTCACAATGGAGGCAATTATCTCTCATTTCTTATTTCACTCCATTCATATGTTGCGAGACTTGAATTTAGGTTCTTTTATTTCCAACAAAACGAAAATGATAATTAAATTAAAATTGTTGGCACAAATTATTGATTTAGATTTACATATTCAATGGTAAGCGTAACATTACAGTTTATCACTTGAATTAATCTCAATGGGTTAATTAAAAGTCCCACCTAAACTCTAGTTTGGGTTAAAATCTTAAATTAAGATTTCAAATAGGATTTTGAAAAAAAAAAAAGAAGAAGATAATTTTCATTTAGAAAAATGCACACAAGACACGACACGATCAGTCGACCACATCAAAAAAGAACCGAACCAAACCAAATGGGCCGGACCGACATCTTTTGTATTTTTCTTAGGCCCATTTCCTTTAAAGCACAAAATTCTCGAAAACTCGCTTCTCCTCTTACCTCCAGCTACCCGCAGCAAGAACTTTATCGCCGGGAAGACTTACAGCTCCGCCGCCTCGGAGGAGAATCGAAGACGATTTTCATGTCTTCGATTTCGTTATCTAATCCTAGCCTCTCTACTCTCGTCTTCTGCCGAAACCAGTAAGACTCCAATCTCTGTCCATCATTTTTTTTCTGCTCAATAATCGATATATATATTTTTTGAATTTCATGTTTTTCATTTGTGCAATGTTTCTCTAGGAGATATCACAATAAAAAGAATGGCGTAGTTTATGGCGGCGGCAGCAGCCTCATTTCAAGAAGTCGGAGAATACCTAGATGTGCTGTAGATACACCATCTGGAGGTATTCTTTTTCATTGCTTATTTTCATCCAGAATTGTGTTGCTTTTGTAGAATATAGCTCCGTAGCTTCGTAATTCTCTCTTTGCTGAGATTTTTGAAATTCTAGGTAACTGGAAATGGGTTATGTTTGAAATAGAAAGAGTCTGTGTTGAGTAATTGTGAAGGTTTGTTGTTCATGCTTATTATAGGGAAATTTGCAGCGAATGCCTTTTTCTCAGTAGAAATATTCTTTAGTCAAATTTCGGGAAACGTGAGATTGAAATTTGCTTATAGAATTTTAGTGGGTGATTATGTGGGGATGGGAATTGATGCTTTTTCAGCAGAACTGCTGAAGTTGATAGTCTGGAAAATCTTTGAAGTTTTCTTTTTAGATTATCTGCCTGGAGTTGCCTTGTTGCTACATTAATCGTTCTTGCTTTGGGTAGTTTTTCATTACAATACCTTCAACAGTTCAAGATTTTAGGTGAAGAGAAATTTTATAAATTTCCAAACATATTTGTGATGCAATGTGAATCTTTAAGTTGAGTGATAGATGTTTTTAGGTAAGCAGAATGTATACGTTGATTTAATCACCTTGGGTGAGGGGAAGCATTTCCAGACCCTTGGGCCGGATCCTTACCTCCAAAATATATGGGTCCCTACCATGCTAGGAAGGGAGGAGAATGGTGTGGAGTCTGGAATTTTATGCTGTTAAAGAAAAGAAGGAAATTGTGCTTCACATGCTTCCCGAAATATGTTGGTTGAGAGGAGAGCATGATGTGAACTAGCCTTATCTTTGAAGAAAAAAACTAGTCATAAAAGACGTTTTTGCATGTGTGTGAACATGCACGTGCACATGCAAGCCTTTAGCATGTCCATCTTCAACATTGTCAGGAGACTCAGGACAGAAGAATCTGTAATCTATAGTGTGTGTTTAGAGAGATAATCATTTCTGTTTGGAGAACTGATGAGATCTGAAATGTTGATATAAGTATTGTGATTAACACTCTATAGGAACAAACTCCAACAATGCTAATCAATGTCATTTTGTAGTGCAAAATTGCATGCATTTAATCACGCTGTACTTTTCTTTTCTTTAGTTGCACTCAAATTAAAACTTAATCGTTGGTGTTTTGGGGGGTGGGGGGAGGGCGCCCATTGGTGTCAGATTAATTGGAAATGAAAATTATAATAAAATAAAATGCTATTTGTGTGTGCATGTAAAATGTAAAGTTCTGCCAGTTTGCTAGAAGTTATCTCAGTTTCAATTTTACCCAACTGCCTTTTCTTTTCTTTTCCTTTCTCTTTTTTTGGTGACAAAGTATTATTTCAATTGTGTTTATCTCTTCTCTCTAGGCAATGTCCCAACTTTCCCTCGAATTAGGGTTTGGGATCCATATAAACGCCTTGGTGTAAGTCCTTATGCTTCAGAGGAAGAAATTTGGGATGCTCGCAACTTTCTACTGGAACAATATGCTGGCCATGAGAGAAGTGAGGAATCAATAGAAGCTGCCTTTGAGAAACTACTTATGGCTAGCTTTGAACAGAGGAAGAAAACCAAAATCAACTTGAAAAGCAGGCTAAAGCAGAAAGTAGAGGAGTCTCCACCTTGGTTTAAGAACTTGCTCAATTTTCTGGAACTTCCCCCAATGGCAGTTATTTTCAGAAGATTTTCTCTCTTTGCCTTCATGGGTGTCTGGAGCATCATGAATTCTGCTGAAGGTGGACCTGCTTTTCAGGTTTGTTCTACATATCTTAATTTCTTAATGGGGACTTTTATTGAGACGTAGTATTCAAGCTGAAAGGATAATTATTTGGCATCATCTCAGAAATTGTTATTTGTGGTGTAAACTAATATACTGTTTTTCATTGAGTATGGTCAATCGAATGTGTTGGGGGAAATTATGACTTCTTCCCACTCCCACTCTCTCTCCCATAGACCCTTATCAAGAATTCCAGATGATTTGTCTCAATTATCTTGGTATAAATTCTGGCATGTCTTTGTGTTATTGTTCTTCCTATACCAACTGTTTTAGCACCCATGTACATTGGTGTTTGTAATCAGAAATATTTAAGTTTTCTTCACTTACTATATTGAATAAAATGATGTGGATTCTGTATGCAGGTAGCTGTCTCCTTGTTAGCTTGCATATATTTCCTTAAAGAGAAAACAGAGAGCTTAGCTAGAGCATCCATTATGGGGTAAGCAGTAAAATTACAGCTTTTTATCCATTTTGTCCCCTCACCCCATTCTTTCTCTCTTTCTTTCCTTTTTTTAGCATTTTCCCTTCTTATCCCTTTTAAATGGGTACTTTGTTCTATCACAGATTTGGGGCGCTTGCTGCTGGTTGGATATGTGGCTCCATATTTATTCCCATGATGCCATCGTTTCTGTTTCACCCAACATGGACACTCGAACTCCTAACATCCTTAGTAGCATATTTTTTCTTGTTTGTTGCCTGTACTTTTCTCAAATGAGGGCCCTACCATCTCCTCTTTCCCCTCTTAGAAACTCTTAACAGATTTTTTGTTGAACATTATGTGTACTCTGATCATCCAAATGTTTGTTGTTACATATATCATGGACATGTGTTACCCCAATTTATTACCCTTCTGTGACTTTGAACCATCTGGAACTGTCAAGTCTGTGTACCAAAATAACGTATCTAAATTCATCTCTGGTTGTCTAATGTTTCCACCCACATGCCATGGAAACAATGCATCTCTGGTCGCACCGTTGCAGAGGTTTTCCTGTAATGTTGAAAATTATTGGGGCATGGAACCCTGCATCGATCTATTATTGATGAAGAAACATGCACTTTAGAGAATTACAGCTTTCGTGTTTTTGGAACAGATTCTGTGACCATACGAAACGAAATAGAAACTAAAGCAAGCCCCAAAAGTGCCAGCATTGGATTTACAATAAAACAATGCATTTAACACAAATCCAAATGTAATGATAAAAGCTGGTGCAAAAATCCCTGATCAATACCACACTACGAAAATAAACGTCTGAATCTAATAAAACACAATCATTCGATGATGGGTCAGGGCATGCCTCTGTATTTTCGAGAGTCTCTCCTATTGCTTTTCATGGCGCAACAGCCAATTGAGTAAACCAGAATAAGGACTATAAAGAGACAGATGTTGAAGAAAAGCAGATGCTTCCATTGGTTCCTGATGTTTGCCAGAAATCCGGTCTTGCAAGAGTTGCAGTCGTAGCAGAGCTTGTCCCCATTGTTGCCCCACGTCTGGCAGTCAGTGTTGTTGGATGGAGGGCCTGATCCCTCAACTTCCCAGAATGTTGCATTCTTGAACTGAAACCCACATTCACTTGGAGGTTTGCAGCAGCCCGACTGTAAAAAGAAAAATGCCAGAAATTTGTAAACCTAAAAGCCAATTTTTCTCTAGAAAATTATGCTAATAGCTAAAGAAAAATGTAAACAAGGGCAGATTTCTTCCCTTCCACATGCTTGTCTAGTCATCTTTTGATCTTCACTATGTCTTAGTAGATAAGAATTCGAAAATTTGATGTTCAAAGCTACAATTTTAGGTTCAAATATACTATATGTAAAAAAGAAATTCTTTTAAATTGAACAATATATATACATCATAACAAAAGTTAAATTGAGTATAATCGTTCAATTTATATTATATAATTATTGATATGAAATGACTCGTTAGTGTTAAAGAACCTTTATCTACTAATCAAGATTTGTACTTTAATACAATCGAGTTATATATAAATATTTTCTGAAAAACAGAATTCTCTTTGTACAGTGCAGTGATTAAAACAAAAGTAGTTACTGATGGTATTATGACCCCATAATTAATCACATTCAAAGCTCAATGATTAGTTTTATTTTCGCAGACTGCACAAAACATTTCTCTCGAAAAAAATCACTTATTTCTATCAAAGAAATCAATCAAAGAAACAAAATTTAAAACGAAGGAAAAAAATTAAATAAACAATGTAATATATACCTGTAAGGACGTCAGAGACATCTTGAAAAAATCTGGCTCATTTTTATTCCCAAGACTCTTACAGATATGGGACTCCACCAAACAACTCCTAATCCGATCCCACTTCTTTTCATTCACAAAATGCCGCTCCAACCAGTGGGCGTAATCTCCGGTCCTGTACTGCTTGAACCCTTTATCGGAAACCACCTTCCCAACGCCTTTGTTCGTCACCAGGAACACAAACACGGTGAAACCGATGATCCCCACTAACAGAATCAGCATCACCGTCAAGTAGACAAACATCACGAAGTTGTTCTTACAGCAAGCCCCGACCAACCCCATAATCGAAAACAGGAACACGAGTGCCCCGGTTATCAGTAACGGTTCAGTCAGAGATTGCTGGCATTGAGTACTACCGCCATGGATGAGGAAGTACAGGCCAGCAACTGTGGCGGCGAGGCCAAGGACAAGCGATAAGGCATTCACAACCCCCACGATGAAATTGCTAACACGAACCATGGCTAATATTGAAAACTCTTAATTTCAGGATTTTGGAATGAAATCAGAGAAGAAGAAGGAGTCAGAGAGGCGTATCGGAACCAGAACTCTGTAACAGTTTTCTGAGACTTCTACGTTGCAATGTTATTATAAACCGTTTCGTTTCACGTTTAAACTATGCGGTTTCTGCCATTGCGGTTTGAGTTTATTACATCAATGCCATTGAAAAACGTGGGGGGAATGTGATACGTGGCGAGATGTGAGGCTTGCACGTCATTTCCCAAATTACGAAGTTTCCTAAACCACGATCTCTATATGGGTTGGGAATCGGGGTGGTGAAATTTTATAGATTTTTTCTCCAAATTTTATCAAGTTTTTTCGGTAACTACTTAGAAGATAATTACTCGGTCCGATTTAGTTCTCTTATTAGATGTGGTCTAAATACTAGGAGTAATTTATTGTCCCATTTTTTTTTTTTTGAAAATTTATATTTATTTATCATATCCGTTTTAAAATAATTAAAGTTTAAATTTATTTTAAATTAATTATTATTTTTTTATATGTAAAATAGATATTATTTTTTTAACTTTATCTATTTAAACTTTAATTATCCCTTTTATTAAAATTTAATTTAATTTATAACTTTATTACCAAAAATTTTTATATTTTTTAAGAGTAATATAGATAAATATATAAATTATTTTTAAATATTTAATTAAAAAATAAAAAAAAAAGTTTTTAAGAAAAAAAGAAGAAAAAAAAAAAAAAATTATGAGTTAAGAAATAAATGATTTTCTTCATAAACATAATAATGATGATACAACTAAATCAAATAAGAAACAAGGATGAGATTAACTTTTCCCTTTTCTTTTCATTTGTACTAGTACGCACAATTACAATTTTGGAATAGAATATGCATATTAAAAGATTAAAATTACTCCCTCCCGTTTTCTAAAATTGTTATAATTCCTTGTACCTTGGTTGCAAGATTATCAGTTATAAATCGATTTGTAAGATGCATCTCTCAATTCAAGAATTGATATTAGAATCCTTTCACTTAAAAGTTGTAAATTTGTTAACAAAAAGTTATAATTGTTTAATTTTATATGGTAAATAAATAATAATTGAAGAGATTTTTTGTTTTAAATGAAAACACCTAACAAGAATTACATATAAAA